ATAAGCCTCTCTTGGCAACGACACTCTTCTGGCTTGCATAGCTGTCTGATATCTAAGGGACACAGCCACATTCCCCCTGCCGTGTGCTATTCTGATGACGTGCATGCTGCTAGATGACTGGTAGCTTGAAAATGCCTCATCTGCTGTCCTTTGGAGACGTGTTCAACTATTCCCCTGGTTTATATAACCTCAAAGCAATTTGCTTTCATGGCAGAACATGCTTATTCATTCTATTTTAACTGTACATTGAGCTATAAATAATGTCTGCTTGCAGATAATCTACTGATTTCTTTTTTTTTTTTTTTTTTTTTTCCCTTCCCCTACCCTTGGAAGATTTTCTCCTGACCCTAGCTCCTGAAGGAGACTTTCCCAACCTTTGCAGTGAAGTTGCCAGATTGACTTTCTCCTGCTAGGCAGCCATGAACAGTGTCAATCCCAGGTCAGCTGCTGCTTCCCTGCAGCCACCTCTCATTTTTCCTGCCTGGACCGTGGCAAAGATGAAAGGAGCCCCCAGTGATGCACAGCTGAGATCACTAAAGTGTCAGGAAAACTGATTAAGCCAATGATTTCCTTTTCCTCTGACTAGCTGCAGGATAACATCTCCTGCATTACCTCCAAACCACCTTCTCTGCAGTATGTTCAAAGAGCGATAGCCTGGGCTGTTGTGCAGCCAGATGTTCTGCAGTTTAGTGCCTTCTTTTTTCTGCTGCTCATTCTAGCATGTTCCTGCTTTCACATGAGTAATTCTTGCTCTATGTAATGGAACCCTTGACCTGACATCCTCATCATCCAGAAACTGCCCAGAGCTGGAGCTGGTGAGGTGAGAAGTGACTGCATGTCCTCAGAGTTCATTCTCCTGAGACCTGTGCCTGGTCCAGGCTGCAGCACAGCAGTGAAGTGGCTGCTCTTCTGGCAACTGATTTTCTGTGGTGCAGATAACTTTGCTGTAGGTTCAAATGCTGATGCTCTTCTGGGGAAGTGTCGTGATGGCGAGGACCTGAGCTGTTGCAGAAGTGGAGAGGCTGAAATCTTTGAGAGCTGATGATGTTTTCAAATTTGAATAGTTTAGTGTGATTTTTAACAATGATTACTATATACTCTTTTTGTTGTGCATTTTACTGGCCATCCCCCATAAAAATGTGCTGAGAGCTCTTTGTACCACTTATGTGTGGCCCTTTAGTAAAGATTGTAGGAAAACTCTGAGACTGCTCTCCTGGGTCAATGAGACGTATTATGTTCCTTCGTTAATGAAAACTATCCATAGGAGAGAGTGTTATGTAAGTACCATATGCATAAAATAACTCAGGTTGGAAGAGCTCTCTAGAGGTCTCTAGTCCAACCCCTGCTCAAAGCAAGGTAAAGTCAGCTCAGGATGCTCAAGGCCTTCGTTGTTCAGCTGGGTTTTCAGAATCACTGAGGAAGGACATGCATGGCCTCTCTGGTTCCTGTACCACTGCTTGATCACCCTCGTGGCAAAGAATAATTCCTGCTATTTGGTCAGAATTTAATCCTTTTGCCGTACAGCTGAGAAGACTCTGGCTCTGTCTTCTCTATAACCCCATAAGGGACCTGATAGCAGTGTGATGCCCTGTACCCACCTCTTTTCCAGGCTGAAGAAGCCCAGCTCCTAAAGGTTACCCCAAATGCCCTGTGCCCCAACCCCTGACCAGCCTGGTGGCCTCTGCTGGACTCATTCCCATGTGTCAACATCTGTCCTTGCAGTGGGGCCAAGTACATTTAATTCATTGCATAAGTAATGTGAAACCATGTTAGCCTTCACCTGCAGGGTACAAAGTTCTGCACATGGTTTTATTAGTTCAGGAAAACATTCACTGGCATTACCTGAATCAAACTCTATTTAATAAGTTCATAAACACATGGATATGTTTTCATATTGATATGTTTAAATCATATCAGTGATGTTGTTTGCTTGTTGCTTAGTTCAAATGGTGCCTTTGGGCACTAGGTGAGAGGCAGATCTTCCATTTGTTCTCTATCAGTTTCTCCAGGTGTGTGGCTCATTACAAATAGTTATTGGCCACATTGTGGCCAAGAGAAAGACAAAGATGGAAACTGGTCTGAATTGTATTTAACAGGCATTTTGGAGTGATTAGAGGAGATTTCATTAAACAGCTACAACTAATTATTGTTATTTCCCACTTCTACAACAGCTATTTTGGAATTAAATAATGTGACAAAACCCAGGAATGTTTGGAAAAGTGTATTAAATAGTTTGTCATTCATTTATCAGTATATTAACTTATGCTGAGGAGTCACATATCTGATAAGAAAATTTCCCAGCATCAGTTTTGATTCTTCCAGAGAATACGAAATCAATACTGGCAATAGCTGTAGTGGGAAATATTAAAGAAGAAATTCCTTGGATAAGTGAGAGAGGATGTTGCATAATGGCCAGATCCTGCCCTGGTGTCAGCCTGCAGACCCTCTGGTGCTCAGGACCATAACATGTGGTACCCCGGGATGTGGCATTGTATTTTCTTACTTGTGGGTCTCTGCCCTTGTGCTGGCTTCCGCACATATGAGGCCAAATGGCCATTAGCCATATGCTGCCTCTGACTTTGAGGATTAGAAGATCCTAATGAAGTGGATTACAGCACGAGATCAGTGGCAGGATTGCAGACCAAATCCTCTTTCTAACTGTTCTTCCAGGAGTAGCTAACAAATGAGCAACCTGTCCTACTGCATGAGCTTAGCCAGCTGTGGAATTTTTCCTCACTGTTATCAGAGGCAGGATAATCTGGAGCTGTAACCCCAGGTGGGGACGCTGTGCATGAATCTGAAACCTGGAGATTCCTGGGTGTCACTTCTGTGGCTTTCCTGGAGTGCGTACCTGAGCTGCTCAGGGAGACTGATGTTTCCCAGTCAGCACTTAATTGTCACAGACTTGGGTCTCCCTAGAAGTGTCTGTAGGTAAAAGAGGGAAGGAATGGATCTGCTGAACATTGGATGAGTGTTGTGATGGAGGAAATCTGGGTTGCTTGGGGCCAGGAAGTGCCAGACCCAGTGCTGAACCCGGCAGCTGCAGTGGAAAATTTTTCTTTGGTGTGTACAGGCAACACATGCCAGCCTTTGGCAGGATGGTGCTCTCCACCCATCAGGAGATAGGTTGGTCCTGCCTAGAGGACAACATCATCCAAGGCAGGGAGTAGCCTGGGGCAGCAGCACGTGGGAACCAGGCAGGAGGCAACATGTCAAAAGCTGCCAGTCTGGGGCAGGGAAGGCTGGTGAGGAGGATTCACAGAGGTCTCGCTGCCTGGCTGGAGAAGGCAGTGGCAAAGTTCATATTTGACCCAGAAAGATGAACCTCCTTCCCACTGTGCAGAGACTGTACGGGTGAACAGATGAAGGCAACCAGCATGGCACATGACAGCAGCCTCAGCGTGCTCCTGTATGTACTCTGGGAGAAGTATTTTCCTTCCAGAGCGGCCATCCACAAGGCACATTAGGGCAATACATCTTGAAGATGTGCCATATCTATCTAAAATATTCATGTATGTTCCCTGTAATTTATAGAAACGAACCTAGCAGCATAATTATTTTAATGCTTCTCTCTGTGAAGACACCCATCTCTTTTAGGTGAAAATGTAACCTATCTATCCACACAGCCTTGCTGTGGCCTTCATAACATGCCAGTGCCCAGTAAGGTGATTCTGTGCACTATAAAATTTATACATTTAAGGATCAAAATAGACCCTTTAGATCACTATGATATATCAGATACTAACACAATGGCTTGGACTAACTTTCCATGATTTCAGCTGAATTTCCATGATTTCAGCTGAGTGGTGCCTTGTTTGTGCAAGGGAGCACCCGTAAAGCATCTTTTGCTCTGCAGCTCCCACAGCTCTGAAGTCTATCCTAAGCACAATGCTTAGCTCCCATGACTAAAAAAACGCAGGTATGCTTCCCATTTCAGACCTGTGAAAAGGATCATGGTGAGAAACTTGGGTTAAAGGCAGAAGCCACTCCTGCAAAATTACACCTACTAAACCGTCAGAGGCCCAGACCTCCCCTAGGAAGGAGCAATTTGGAGATGGCACAAAGGCTGGAAGTGCAAGACAGACAGGAAAATTGGGACAGGCTCTATGTTTTAAGTATGATTTTCTAAAATATCTGTAGGGGGAAAGGACCTACTGTACTTTCAAGCATAGTTGGTGTTATGTAAATAGGTTCCCAAACCTTCAGTGTCTTTTGTTCTTAAGATAGCTTGGCAGAACACTTTGAATCGGTCGGCGTGTTTAATTGTGACTGGGTCTGTAAATAGGTGCTCCCTGCTGATAAGGTTCAAGTGACATTTTTAGTGGTATTTGACAGAATTTTAACCTGCTTTCAAGTCTTCTACTGAACTCTTCTATACCCAGGCAGTGGTTTTTATCAAACCATTGCTAAATACCATTAGCTTCACAGGTTAGACACAGTTCTGTCAGACTCCACCTGACAAGGCTTAACCAGTTCTGCTGATGGCAAAGCCACACCTGACCTGTATTCATACATAGTGGTGAATATCTGGGAATGTGGAAAAAACCCAACCCAAAACCACAAAGGAAAGAAGACACTCTTAGTCTGATCTACAAGCAGGGTAATGCTACATGCGCTGCCTAAGCTGCTCCCTGATGGGAGATGCCACTCTGCAGAGATAAATGAAGGACCTACCATGTACTGCCCTCAATATTTTGTGCTCCTTATGTTTCTACCAGAATCCTAAAGAGGTTTCTTTTGTCTAAAAGGCTGTTTGTTTGGTTTTGACCACTGAGAACATGTGATACTTGTCTCAAGCTGTTAACCAGATGTCCAGCCAAAATCAATTGCTGAGCTGATGCAGACCATTACCTGAAAGTCAAGACCTCAATAAATATTACCAGCCTCATTGTACTGGTGACAGATTCTGCTGGTTGTTTTATGTTACAGTTGAACAGTTTAGACATTGCATTTGTATATATTTGCAGCTGGCCTCAGAGAGACCATCTCATGAGCAGAGCAGGAGCTGGCAGCCTGCAGACTCAAGAAATACTTCCACCATGACCACGGCAGGTGTTTTTGTGCTCCTCTCCTTTGCGCTTTGCTGCTTCCCAGGTGAGTAAATTTCAAGGTGCCGCAGACGCTTCATGTCCAAGTCCTGGCTGTCTTTAAAAGGATAAGATAGTGGCTTCAAAGAGAGAAAATCTTCTTCTAACAAAGCTAGGCTGCATCCATATGTTGGCATCATGTAAGAGAAAATTTCAGGACAGTCTTAAATGGATCACTGTTATAGCTGGTTGTCTGTCATAAACACAAATAACTGCAAGTAGAGTTCTGTGCTGCTAACTGGTGCTGTTACACTTTTTACACTGTTGTTTTAACACTGTTATGCTGCTTACAATTCTTGTTGTACAATTTCAGCAAATGGATAAACACTTGAAACAAGGCCGTAATGAGGTGTTCAGACCTCTAGTAACTAGTCATGAAATATTGTAATGGCACAAGCAAGTTCTTTGCAGGAGCCTGGCAACTTTCCTGCAGTACTTTTGCTGCTAATGGAGAAACAGGAGATGAAAACAAGCCAGTGTCTGATGTTCTCGCTGCATATTTACATCTGATGAAATTATAAACTCAAAGACAATGTTTTTTTTACACTTAGCTTCTTTAAAATGCATATTCTTGACAACAGATGCTGTATGTATTTGCTTATCCTGTAGGTGACTATTTGCATTTGCATTTATCTGTATTGACTCAGGTTTCTTTTCAGATATGTAATAGCAGCTTTTTAGGGTCAAAATGGATGTGTAAAAAGATAAGGAAGGAAAAGCTATTCTATTTTCAATTAATAAGTCTACCTATCTCAAAATAAAAAAGAATAAAGCTATTCAAAACCATGTTTCATCACAGCCAGGAATAAGCAAAGCTATTATACTTATCAACATAGAAAAAAAAAAATCATACATAGCTTGTTTCATTCAGGAAACCAATTGCTGGAAATCATTCCGTTTGGTGCTGAATATAGGAACTTCACATCCAGATTTCCAACTTTAACTGAGGTCTTATCACATTGGCTTTGTTTCACACTTTCTGCCTCTTTTCTTTTCCAGATGCTGCTTTTGGGGTTGAGGTGAGTGGAAGATTTCTTTTTGCCCCTTTTCTCAGGTGTGTGGCTTCAGGAATGAGGAAGAACTTCAGGCTTGTAGGTGCTTAGCTGTTTTCCACTTAGCATAAAATTAGTGTCATTGTAATCAGTTTCTACAGTGTAAAACATTAAATGATACTGTTCCTGGCTCTACATCTATGGTGTATGTTAATACTGTTGTACTAGTAGTAATGATCGAAAATTTTTGGATTAATTCATTTTTTAGTAACTTTAAAATAGTCTAAGATTTAAACTGATCATATATGACTGGCTCTAAGCTGATAGCAATAGACTGTGGTATCAGTACCTACTCGCAGACAACCTATTGAAAAAACAAAATACCAGTAGATACTCCAGCTTCCACACACCAGGTCATCAGTCTTGCTCCTCTGTAAAAAAAACATGAACAGTATGTTGAGAATGAAAGAGTAATAACAGAAGTGCACTGGAGAGGCCAAAGAATATAAAACTGAGGGACCAGTGAGTAGCCTTCTCAAAATGATGTCGAGTGAGCATGAGAGACCACCACTGATACACCCCATCGGGGGCACTGCATGGCTACAGCCATCTCCTTCTTTCCTGCTGTGTGGGGAGGTCTCTGCAGAAAGGACTCACCCGTTACCAGATTGACCCACCAGCACAAGTTTGTGCTGTAGTAGTGAAAAAACCCACTGCAGGTTGTATCTGGTCACTGTTTCATGCGAAATGAGGGTTGTGAATGAAAAATGTCCTCTTCACCCTGTTGCTGTTCATTTCTTTGACAGGTGGACTGCAGTACGTATCCCAACGCTACAAATGAGGAAGGCAAGGAGGTGTTGGTCTGCACCAAGATCCTCAGCCCCATCTGCGGTACTGATGGAGTCACTTACAGCAATGAGTGCCTGCTCTGTGCCAACAACCAGTACGTACGGCATAGGAGATCTCAGACAGCAATGCTCAGGGCTCCTGGCAGCACCACTTTTCAACAGTGATCTGTCATATGTCACTTGTGTCAATTCCTTCAAAATGACCTTGTATATCACTGTGTGGCACTCTGTTGCCTAGACATCACTTTAGTCACCATGTGTCTCCTTTGCTGGTGTAATTTATTCAGATTTTAATTCTCCAGCTCAAGGATCAGCTAGATGACAGCCCCTAGGGCATATCTCATCACAGCAAAGCAGAGCAAAAAGATGGAGAGATACTCTACTCTGAACTGCTCCAAATAGTTCTAAAGCTCTCAGGGTCTTTACATCCCTGCCAGCCACTCAGTGCTAACTGGTCAGGGAGGATGGCACTACCTTCTCAAAAATATATATATAAGCCTAACTGATAAAAAAAGACAGCTTTCCCTTGTATTAGTTATATATTTCCAGCACCTAGGGTGTAGCAAGATGTCTTTGCTGAACTTCCTAACATTTGTCTTTCCCTCTCTAGAGAATATGGAACCAATGTCAGCAAAGACCATGATGGAGAATGCAAGGAAGTCATCCCTGTAAGTGAAACCATTTTTCCCTCGGGCAAGGGGCATGTCCTGCTTCTGAGTGGCCAAAGCTGCTTGTTGAGTCCCCTAATAAATAATTCAAACCCTAAATAAAAGGACATATGACATGTTAGAATCTTGCATTGGTCATCTTCAAGTGAACTGTCATCATAGTGACACACAAAAAAGCATTTTTCCTGCTGTGGTGGTATCCTAGGTGGCCAGACAGAGACACTCACCATATCTACTTGCTTCCTATAAGTAAGCCTTCACCAGTACTTTGTTGTGTGTTCCCTCAACAGGTGGACTGCAGTAAATATCCCAACACAACAAATGAGGAAGGCAAAGTGGTGTTGCTCTGCAGCAAAGACCTCAGCCCCGTCTGTGGTACTGACGGGGTCACCTACGACAATGAGTGCCTGCTGTGTGCCCGTAACCCGTGAGTACTGTGAGGGATAATGAGTGCTTAGCACTACTGACAGCTGCTCTTCTGAATATAAGGACTTCTACCAAGGTTTTTCCTGTAAGGTGCTTGGACTTTGACCCTCTTCTCTGGTAACTAGACCTTGTTTTCCTTTGTGATTAGAAGGAAAACTGTGCCTTTGATCTAGAGAGAGGAGTAGAAGGCTGGGTAGGGACCTACCACAAGAGATAATGTTTTTCCTAACTAAGATAAAAGGGTCTGTGTGGGAGATGGTGCCTTGCAGAGGACAGCAACTAACCTAAGGTACATCTCCAGTGTGACACAACCTAGATCCTCATTCATGTTAATACCCTGGACCCTCCCTTGTCCTTCGCATCATGCTATAAACCAGCACTCCGGCAGGCTGTGTCACCACCTGAGCTGGTATGAGAGCCATGTGGACACAACCTAAGCTGGATGTCCCTTGTATCCCCTATGTTGTACCTGGGGCTGATCCGCGTTGCTGAGATGTGGGCTCAGCAGAGCAGGTTGCTCACAGAGCTCCCTAACATGGGTCTCTTCCCTTCCCAGAGAGCCTGGAGCTGGTGTTGGCAAGAAGTATGATGGTGAATGTAAGAAGGAAGTTGCTACAGTAAGTGAACTGCGTGATGAGGGACCATGTTTCAGTCCCACTGATGTCAGGTGAAGCACTGGCAGTGTCTGCAGCAGCCCCCAGACCAAGAGTGTGCTACAGGAGTGTCACTGCTGCTGTGCTTCAGCACAGGGAAGATTTTGCTTTCTTCACATGTAATACACATTATCTGTGCTAATGTCAGAAAAGGAAGAGGGATGATTGCACAAGAAGGGATCAGTAAAACAGTAGTATCAGAAATAATCCATCGGGGCAGAACTGGGAATAAGAACAGAGCATGGCTTTTGGAGTCAGACCAATAATCCATCAAGCACACGATGGCTTGATGCAGAGCCTGCTCTTACAGAGGGGTGGTAAGGATTGTGTAGGAGTGAGAGTAGAGTATGTATGGGACTTCTAACCTTCCAGCCTCCAGCTATTTTCAAGCGATGGACCTCAGCTAGGTGCGATTTCTGTGTAGTCAGTAAGCCTCCATAAATTTCTTCTGCATGAAATCCCTCGGCCTCTTCCTGGATCCATATAAGTTTTTCGCACTACGATAATTCTCAGCAAGCATAGCACCCACTGCACAAAGAAACAAAATCCCACTCTCACAGTATCCAGCTAAGTGCTGATCTTCCCGTTTTAAGGCTATAGGAGAGATACTGGACCTTTATACAGGCATCAGCACTTACACTTCTCCAGACACCAGTGTTTTTCTATTTAATTTCCTGGCCAGGTTGGGAACACAGTGCAATGTGATCACGAGAATGGCACATTCCCCGAGTGAACTGCTGCTGCTTAGAAATGCTGTGGTCAGGTTATGATATACATCTCTTCAAACAGGAAATTATGATCTATTTTTATATTACTAAATTCTTTTGGCATAGGAGAAACTGACACCTCAGTTTATATCAGATTGTGCAAGGAAGTTAATTACTTTTAGTTAGATCATTATCATTAGCACCGCAGCTGTAGCTAGGGGTTCAAACCCTTCTGATATTGACTCCTTCATATCCTTCAGATTAGATTTTTTTTTTCCAGATTGACTGCAGTGACTACCCTAAACCTGTCTGCTTGCTTGACTCTATGCCTCTGACAGCAAAACATACAGCAATAAGTGTAACTTCTGCAATGCAGTTGTGTATGTAGACACATAGGTCACATTTATGTTATCAGTTGCCTCCTATAGGCACAAGTTCACAGTTGCCACTTTCTTGTTTGCTAACCAGTGTTGATTAGGGATTTGGGGCAGGACAGGACGCCAGCCATCGTGCCAACCATTCAGGTTTTTTTCATTAAAGAATACAAAGAGCTATGTCTGGTTTGTTAGTGTGAGCGGTTTGAAGAGTGTTAACCTCAATGGAATTTTTCTTGCATGTTGCAAAGAAAATTAAATTTGAAGTTTCATTATACTTTCCTCCAAAATATTTCAGTCTTAAGAATGGGTTAAATAATTTCACTCATCTCTTAATAACCAAATACCTAATGAGACTCTCAGTCTGCAAGTTCTTTGGCTCTGTGGCAGGATCCTGTCTGACACCTTCTCTAGGAGTCAAGCAAAAGAACAGATTACAGCAGGCAGCACTCTGTGTCTAATCCATTTTTTCCTCTCCTCGCTTTCAGGGACAGCAATGAGACTCTCACTTTAAGCCATTTTGGAAAATGCTGAGTATCAGTGCTGAGAGAATTCACCACAGGATGCCCACTGGCAAATCCCAACTAAAGATCTCACCTCAGTTCATCTAATCCTCTGGGGAACTCAGCTCACTCCTGATTTTCTTTCTCAATAAACTACATCAGCAACATTCCTTTGTCTTGTTTCATGTGTTGTCTCATGAAACATTTTCTTCTGATTTGTTGAATGATGGTGCCAGGCTGAATGAGTTACGTGCTCACAGTTCTGGGATATAACAAGACCAACATCTTGCTCCCCTCCCTCTCATAAAAGACAGAAAATTAAATACAGATGCATTAAACCTCAGAGCTGTGTGACTTTGTACATGAATGTTAGCCTACATTAGTGTTCAGACCCTTTTAGACATTTGACATTGTAAAGGGCTGAAATACTGCTTGGAGGCAATGACACCAGCTGATCTCTCCTAAGGTATTTCTGGTGCCCTTTCTGGGTGTCATCAGCAGAACCCGCTCAGGCTGTGGTGGTGTCTGAACCCAGAGCTGATCCCTGGGCTCCTGAGCACAGTCCTCACCTGAAGCATAGCACTCTGCAAGGGCAGTCTGTTAGCAAACCTGTATTTTTCAGACACGTGAGTGGGCCCTGCCTACTTGTCTAGATCCTCCAAATGACTTATTTCTAGATTTTTTTCATCTTTAAATTGTCCTTTAACAACCTCCGAGTGTTTTACGATAAATGCCCTCCTAGGGATGGTTCTTACTCCTGCCTAGCTGTCTTCTTTTTTAGTCCTTAATAACATAATACTCTGCCAGACCAAGGAGTATTTCAGCAGTGTTTCACAATCCAAGGACAAAGTATCCTTCTGTTTTTTGAGAGTGTGACCTGTCATTGGCATATAGTCCATGAAATTTATTTTGCTCTTGTCTTCTGTTGGAGTATTGAATTGGTGGGTTTTTGACCCACACAAGAGAAACATAAATAAATTGAGCATATCCCTTCTAAAAAGTACTATCTCCCATATGCATTTCTTTTGGGAGCCAAAGGAAGGAGGATGCTTGATTTTCTTGATGGAATGATGTTGTCCAAAAAGCCATGTTTTGGTGGTAAAACAAAGGATTTATGTTGAGATGGAAAAATGGCTGAAGCAGTGATTGGGTTCAACTCTTCTAGGATCCAGGCTAGGGCCTCACATTGTTCTGTCATCATCAGACTATCAGTCCATTACTGCTAATCTAACCCACAATGCTAATGGCTTTTAGGGGAAGTAACAATTGTAAATTCTTTGCATATGCCATCTCTTGTCCAGTCCAAGAACTTCCTTTAGTGTCTGGGACACCCTCTTGCTCTCCTTCACAGTTCACTGCTTTCCTGGTTTCGCTATGAATTAATGATGCTTTACTGGGATGAATCACGGAAATAAAAGTAGAGACTTCCAACTCTGGAAGCGGTTTATTCAACATTTTGCTCATGCACACAGAGAAAATCCGACAGCGGTTGTGCTTAGGTTTATACAGTTGCTCATTTGCCTGCAGAAATTTTCTATTGTCCTTCAGAAGGAACTTGTCACATATTTCACTCGAAATAATGACACAGAAGGTGTGTCTAACACGTCTAAACTTGCGACTGCTGTTGCTGAAGTAGCGATCTTCCTGACTTGCAGCACGGCTTACCTCTGTCAAGACTGCCACCCCAACAGAAGACCAGGAATGTCACTTCAGAATAAGGGTGGATAAGCGAAATATGAATGCACACGAACACACACAAACAAACAAACATGCACATACATATAAGCATGGTTACCACCTGAGGGCAGAATTAGGGCTACGTTTACTGAGCAAAACACAGGCTCTGCTGCTTGCAGACGCTTCAGCCACCATGAAGACGGCAGGCGTGTTGCTGCTCCTTGCTCTAGCCCTTTGCTGCATCCCAGGTGAGTAGCTTTACTGCCTCCTGCTCTGCCTTTGAGTAAGCGCTGGCTGTCTTTAAAACCACAAAAACATCCTCAGACTGGAAAGAGCTTCATTCTACAAGGACTTATTTACTCCTAGAAAGATAGTGTTGAAAAGACTTGACATCAAAGACTATCACTTATGGGGTAATATTTTAGCAACAGAACTGAGTGGGTAAGAACAACTGTGGGAACAGTTCTACTCTCAGTGCTAGTTTATGCATAATGAAAGAAGTGACATGTACGTGGTACAACCCGGAGACTCAGACATCCAGTGTTTAACCTCTGAAATGTTGCAGAGACACAAATTATTTTACTGAATGAAAGCAAACATTTCTTGTAGTCATCCCGAACTGAGACGTAATTTGAGAGTCTGAACAGTTGTAGAAGCTTTATAAAAGTTACATCTCACTAAATAACTCTTATTTAAGAGCTGTTGTGGCAATGCATACAAGACACTACCGCTGTGCACTTGCCAGCTTTATGACCTGTTTGCCTTAATAACTTGCTTAGCTTTGAGTACATGTCCTGTTATCCTTTGAACCATGGAAAATGCATTTTTCCTCTTTCCTTTTGTACACCCCTTTCCATCCTGGCTGTAACCCTCATTAAACAAATCATACTATAAAATCAATATTGCAAACATACAATATGGCACGAAATTTTGCCTGAAAATCATTTTGTCTAAGAAGATATTTGCTAACAAGCACTGAATTGAAAGTTGCTAACAAACACTGAATTGAAAGAGTGCAGGGCATGCATTCACAGTTTTTTAAACTCTAACATAACTCATGAATTGCATTTGTATCATATTTCCTTCTTTTTTTCTTTTTTTCCAGATACTGATGCACTGCAGGTAAGGGACATATCTTTCTATTTTCTATCATTTCTTTCCTTAAAGCAGTTTCCATATAAATCCTTACTAATCACATTGTGATCGAGCATTTGAAAATCCTGAGTCATCCAGCTGTCCGAATAATATTTGCCACAGATATTATTGGGTGAAATTGCCATTTTCATCCGATGATAGTTTCAACAAGTATTCAGTTCATGTCCAAGTTTTTGTCAAAGTCACTGCAGCAACACTTACAATAATTACACAGGCTCTGGAGGCAATGTACCACCATATTCTTGCCCTGCCCCTGTGCTTTTTCTTAGCATCTGCTGCTGGCCGGTATTGGAGGGAGCTCAGGGTGTGTGGGGTCTCCTAATGTCACCTTTCTTACATATCTGTTGTTGAGAGCTTTTTTGTGAACACACATTGCATCTATTTACAGGTCTACTGCAGTGACTACGTGGTACCTACAGACATCTGTACTTTGGAGTACATCCCACACTGCGGGTCCGATGGCATAACATATGCCAATAAATGCTTATTCTGCAATGCATTCCTGTATGTATGAAACTAAATCTCTTCACTAACGGTGAACTAAGAGCTTAAACAAACTAATCAGTCTTGGAGACTGGTCGGAGAAGTAAAGTTCTTTTATTTTGTGTTTAACTGTTCTCCTACTAGCAAGGGTCAGTGTTTTATTGGGAGAATTTGCCAGGTTTTCCTTTCTTTCAGGTATAAAGAGGTAACATTTAATAGAGTTCTTTATTTCCCTCTTAAGTAATTTGCTGAAGAGCTTTCTTGCAGCAAACAAAGTCTATTTCGTACAAACTATTTGGGTTTTTTTTTTAAATTAAGTCTTTATCTTGACTCTGAATGTTAGTAATAAGAGGAAATAGCTGGAATAGTGTCCAGAAGTTTTCTGTTTCAAGTTCCTCTATGATACATCCTTCACCAGAGGAAGAGACAAACAGTAAAAGCCCAGATGTTCTGTCTCTGAGGTATTGATTTCTTTCTCCACAGGAGAAGCCATCAAACTCTTCGCTTGATATCTCTTCAGGAGTGTTAACTTCTCAATAGGCTTCAGCTCAGAAAGAAGAATCCTCCCTGGCCATGTTCCCCATGGCAGATGCTCCCCTAAAGCCTTGTCCTGAACCTTGAAAGCTCCTGATGAATCTTGAAGTCTCTGATTAATAAAAAAAGGCATCAGCATTTATGTCTTGCTTTAACAATATGTCTCTTTCTGGTTTTACCTAAGATGTTCCATGATTTCATCAGTGCAACAATTCTGGGGTGCGGGTATGAACGGGCAAATTACAGGGAGGGGGAATACATTGTTCTGATCTACAGAGAAATCAACCCCAGCCCCAAAGGCAATGGGTAGATCTTGAAGACATCTGACTTCATCCAGCTTTCCAAAAGAAAATCAGGTCTGGAGATACATCCTGGTGCAACGCTCCAATTGATCTATTCCTCTAAGGACATCCTGGACAGACACTCTGCTCGGCTGAGAGGAACTGTCTGCCTTCCTAACCTCTGCTGTGGGACACCAGCTGCCTCACCCCTGCGTTACTGTATGGTAGACTTCGGCAGCATGAAGAGGCCCCAAGCAAACCTGAACATACACATAATTGGAGACAGTCCCAAGCTTGGTGCAATGGGAGGTTGTATTTTGTGGCTGCTCTGCAAAAGCCCTGGAGGCCCAGAGGGTCTTGCTGGCACCAGGAGCTGCTCATCCCTCTTTCAATTTCCAGGGTTATCCCCAATTTCCTATGCCCACAAGAGAAGTGGTGAAGAAGGGAAGTTTCCCAGCTGCACCTCTTCCCCTTGCAAGCAGGGTTGGAAAGCCACCTTTAGGTGAGAGAACTGCTCTGCTTCCCAAAGCAATGGGACAGGATGTTTTCTCTGGGCAGGCAGATATCTGGCTGCTCACATTTGGGTTTGTAACATTCGTTGCTGCGGGGTATTGCAGAAAACCAGTGGGTAGCCAGTCCTAACAGACCTGATGTTTGGAGGACTGCTAGCAGTTGCCACTGCACCCTGGTTCTGCACCTCACCCACCACTTAGTTGCTGCTTGTAGGTAATTACGTTGACTGTCGCTTGTAGAGGATCCTCTGGATTCTTCGGCCTCTGGAAATCTCGGCTGATGAAAAGAAGGGCTCAGAGTCATAGCGTTAATTTATTATTCATTAACAGGGAAGCGCTGGCAGTGTGGCATGCTGTACAGGCAGCAGTCTCACAGTCAAATAGTTAATGATCTTAAGTGACAATGTGTCACTTTCCAGAGACTGGAGAGAGCAGCTCTCTGAAGGGAGACAATTTATTTCCAAAAGACATGACTCTGTGCAACCATTCAGTGCCAAGTCCCTTCCTGGGGCTGGAATGCCCCTCCTGTGAGAGGGAGGTCTGTGTGCAGGAAGGCATTTCAATGCCAGATGCAATTTCTTAGAACCAAGGCAAATTGAGGATTTGGGAGGTAGTGCCAGGGGTGTGTGGCTCAGGAGCTTCATGCTCCCTCTTGTCCCCTCCACTGAGCAAGGGAGTCGAGGGTAAGAAAACACCAGCTCCAGCACTTATGTTCTTTCCTGGGGAGCAGCAGAGAGGATGAGGATGGCCCCCAGAAGCCATGATGCCTTGGAGACAAGTGAAGCTCCTGATTGCACTCAAGATCCCAGTGGTCCTTGGAGGGCATCTTCCAGGGGCCATCTCCGCTAAACAGGAAAATCCACCAGGCAACTGAGGGGAAACTGTGAGTAAAAATGAACAGGGACAAATCCTCCACCCTGATGCGGAGTTATGCAACATCACTCAGGAGTAACCGAGGGCAGAGCAGGACCCCAGCGGCAACCCAGCCCCCCTGCCCCAGGGAGGCTGCTCCTTAGGATGGAGAGGAATACAGTCCGCTTCTACAGGCACCTCATTGGAAATAATTTTTTTTTCTTGCTGCTCAATAAAATCCTGCCACAACAACACAAAATCCTCTCACCATTACTAATCTAACTCTCCCTCCAGGAAATTCAAGGCAGGAAACATTGTCTGCCTGCCGAGGTATTTTATGGTACAATTCTTCAAGCAGTACCTCGGCACTTTATGTCATTATCTGATATTTGTCAATTTAGGAAATGCCATTCAATTACCCCACAACCTGATTAACACATTGCATGTCATTATTTTGTTCTGCTCTATTTTATATCAATGCTTCTGTTTTAGTGTATTGTCCTACTTGTTGCTGGCCAAAATATACCTCGGGCCAGTCTAGACCTTTCTGTTAATGCAGTTTTTCTCTGAGGCTTCATTCAGGCTAAACGGTTTGTTACTATGTAGTTTCTTGATGCAGAGAAAAATAAAATTATGTTTTAAAACGAAATTACTTGGAGACTTTTTGGGGGCTGGCTGTGTCAGAGCTATTGTGGCGAGGCAGAACTGAGATTCACTGAGGGACTGGGATGTGCAGAGCAGATCCTCAGTCTTTTGCTCTTAGTATGCAGCTCCTAGACAGTCAAATTATTCCAGACACTCTTGCCTGTGATATCATCTATGCTTAAAAGACTGGAGATATGCAGGCAGCAATCAGATAGCTGAACTACAAGGAGAAATATTAGACGAGTGCGGCTTAGAGCAGGGGCTTTGCTTGCGGTAAATTGAATTCTATTCGCATAGAAGATCCAGTTCTGCCCCCGTGTGCAGAGATCTGGGAACAGCAACCTGTTCCGGGAGCTCTTGCAGTGCGCCACATGCTACTCGAAGGCATTTTGTGTTTGTGTCTGCAGTCCCATAGACTGGAGCATAGTACCACTTTGTTCTTGATTACGGTATGGAGTGTGACAGCAGGACATGGGAGCAAGGACAATGATACCGCTGCTGAAATAACAACGTGTGGTCTTGCATGCACACAGCCATCTTTTCTATTTTTCAAAAAAATTAAGAAGTATAATTTCTTTTGGTAGCCAGATGAAGCCTGTGACAAGTTTTAGACTAAAGCAGGGAACATAAATGAAGAAATTTTTAGGTTGTGGTAAATGACGGACTTGCTTGAGATAGGGAGTCTCAAGACCAGAGGAAAAGATTCCCAGGAAGATATCACTGCTATGGGATGAAATAATGCTGGATTAGACACTGGGTAGAATTTCCAGAGTTACTGAAAATGTACCTTAATACAAGAGGATCCATCATATGACTACCGATGTTTATCCCATTCATGTGACCATAACCTTCCTGAATGTTTGCCCTCTAAGAACTTGAAATAGCAGGAAGAGTTTTATTTAAACCTTTATATGGGTCTCACATCTGTAGAAATGTTAAAATAATCCTATACCCAAAGTCACTTTACGGAGCCCACCATCATAATACTCTTGAATATCACAGAGTGATTTTGGCAGGTGAGTTCACTTTGCCTTTCCCATTTGCAACATGTGTGTGACATTTCCCAAAGCTCACTCTCCCAAAAGCATGGTGATAGTTGTTTTTGAATGCTCCTAACACATGTTTTCAACCCATCTGCCGCCCGCAATTACTTCTGTCCCATTCCCTCCGTTTCTTATTAATGGAGCTCCTTGTGCAATCCCACGTCACACCTAGCCCAACAGCTCTCACTGTCCTGCCCCGACTGCTACCAATTATCTCCCATCTTTTCTCATCGACCTTGTAGCAAGACTCCTTCCTTTCTTCTCTTTTCCTCCCTGCTGCCCTCTGAAGCGGCAGGGATTACTGGAGGAAAAGAGCTGCTTTTGGAGCAGTCCTGGCTGGCTACCCAGACTCTCAGAAGCAGCACATGGATCAGAGGGTGATCTCCCCAGTGGATTTAATTAATCAGAGGGCAGGTGTTGGCCAAACATGAGAACAGTGCTGCTCCCTAGCAGATACTCTGTCATTCACAACAGCTCCTGAGCCACCAGCATGATTTCAGCCTGGCAGGAGAGGCAACTGGAGAAGCAGCACAGATTCTGGTAACTGGGGATCTTGGATCAGTGGGTGGATATGGAGGAACTCGGGTCGCAGGGCTGAAGAGGAGGCAGACTACGTTCCTGTAGCCTCACTAGCCACCACAGAGCCACCAAGTGCCATCTCTGCTGGCGGCTGGTGCAAGTTCTGAGCAAGCCTTGTTTTCAGGCTTCGGCATTCTTGTCCCTGGAGAATAATCAGTATTAATGCTTCTGTGATTACTGCTTCCCTTCCAAGTATGCTCACAATCAGTTCAAGCAATCTGAAAGTCAAGTCACTCAGGATGCTAAGAATACAACAGAAACAGCTTTCAAAGGAACCCTTCGACTTCTGATATTTGTGAATAAGATCCAAATAGCATTACTCATTTATTTTTCAGGAAAATTATTTCATTGATATGAACAGGCCAAAACCCATAAACTCTATTCTGTGACTACAGTTCCCTTACACTTACAGCTACATTTTTATGATTAATCTGCCCATGCCAAGACTTGAACATCTCCCAGGATAATAAGAAAAACAATTCAGATTTTCTATTTAAAACCCAGTCTGACTTTAAGCCACGTGTATGAATCAAGCTTCTTCTAAAGCACAAACATATTCCATCCCTCACTTCCTTCTGTGGCTACCTTAAATCAAAAATATATTATTTTATACAATATTTCTTATTTGTTTTTCCATATACTTGTGAGAGTTGAACCACTTAACAGAGTCTAGCTCATTATTCTTCACTTATCTATCCTAAAACATGACTTCCAGCTGACACTCTAAATTTAATGCCACATAATAGAGGGAGAAGTGGGGAGCTTAAGGACTCACATTCTGTTTGCAGCTGCTGCAAATTTTTCTTGAATGTCTTTAGTATTAAGAAGCCCATTTCACTTGCACTTAATACCACGTACTTGCCATTAAGAGGAAACATTATCCCAGTCCAGATTTAAGGCTACTGATTCTCATAATTTCTTAATCAGACTCATGCCCATTGCTAACAGATTAGTAACTCTTGCTCCTACATAGAAATGTCTTAAAAACTTATGAAATTTCAGGTAATGTTTTCCTGTTGTCATGACTGTTTCCTTCCTGTTGGTGAGAAATCCAGTGTACCAGGAAAATACAGGAGTGTGGAGAGATTCATTGAGCCCTCAGCATCTTTAAAGTACACTGTTGCCTGCCAAACCCCAAATTTTGTGTCTGTAAAAGCTTAGAGTGTCCACGCTGCTGTCCCCCCACTCTGGTGTACCATACAAATCTCTGGTAGCCCAAATACTGACTACTGTATGTAGTATGGTGCACACAAGTTCAAACGCTTTCAACAAATGGGCTTTTTTGCTTTACCAACTTCCATACGTAATTTCACAACATCTAGTATTGAGACAGTGCTCTTGTTTGGAAAGTACAAATCACTCATTGTACAGCAGGGCGCCTTTGTTAACAAGCTGGGTGTAGCTCACATTTTTGTTTAATTCTTCTGGGCATCTCTCTAACAAACAAGTATTCTTTAGAGCTCAACTCAATAATCAATACAATTTTCTTAGTTTACAGAGCAAATAATTACTTTCTGGGATTACTTCATAAGGCCAGGGAGATGTATATATATAGTGCGGAGAGAGAAGACTGAGAACCATCTACGCAACTCCAGTCACATCTTTGCAAGTAGCAGACTATACGACCATCTCTACTATGAAGACAACACAAAGCGTTGCCCTTCTTGGGCTTGTGCTTCTCAGCTGCCTTTCTGGTAAGTTGTTTTTTGTACAGTCTATGCTAATATCTCTAGTCCTCCTGAACCTTTCACCTTACATATATACATCCTAAAGGAGAGTTTCTTTTTGGAGATGTGACGATTTAGTAATACGCAGGGTCTCTTTTAATGAACTTTATCATTGTGCAGATAAATACTATAGATCGGTAGGATGCATTTGTCTGATTTAAGCTTAGGAGCCTTAGTGGGGATGATAGTGCTGCAAACAGAGAAAAGTTTATGTCCTATTTCTTCTTTAGTGCGTCAAAATTTTGGGTTTCATGAATAATTGATTTTTAAAATCTTAGTATATAATTTCTTGTTTACTTACAGTAGATAAGACATTTGGGAAAACAATCATTTCTCAGTAATGAGAAAGTGTATTTTTGGTTACTCTGTTGGGAAATTGATGATTCTGAAGGAATTTTAGTCAAGGACGTTGTACAGTTTTTATATTTTATAATCTCTGTTTTTTTGTAGATATTGTTATTGCTCGACAAAGGGTGAGTAGTAGATCTTTGTCATTTGGTCTTGATTTCTCAATCTAGATGAATAATTCATACTCACACTTTATCCCAGGGAAGTCTTGAGGGAGAAAAAAAAAGAAGAGTGAGCGAGAAAGCAAGGAAAAGTGCCCCTAAGTATTAAACCACCTCTTTTCCCCAAAATAAGAAAATACCCTTATCAGAGAAAGATAACTTACCGTTTTGATGACAAAAAAAGACAGCGATTAATAATGTAGAGTGAGTTAGCAAAGCACAGAGTGCCAGCAGAAAATCTATAGAACTATTGAATAACTGCCTAAATATCTTCCCTGTCTTGAGTCCCCAAAGAATGATCATTTTTGCCTGCAATTCTTGCCAAAAGCACTGAAAGTCTTAATATCAATAAGGTACTTTTTGTATGTAAGAAACACAGCATTTTTTGTTCCCTCTTCTTCACCGTGGAGGAAGGATAGAGAAAAAAAATGACCAACAGTAGTCTCCCAACGCAGTGAAAACATGATTAACACAAGCACACCCTTCTTCCCACTTGGAGAAATGACGAGTCCTCTTTAACAGGCCTCCTGCGGCATGTACCGCTTGTCTACGAAAATGCAGCTTGCCTGTCCCCGCAACTACGAACCCGTCTGCGGGACCGATGATGTGACCTACCCCAACGAGTGCTCCCTCTGCAGAGAAATCTTGTGAGTATAAGGTCTCCTGATTGCCTACAATGCCAGTTCAAGCAGCAGACAAAAGCCTTTGGGGTTGTGACTAATTGTGGGGTGGACTAGATTTTTCGTAAGTTTCTGTCTTCCCTAATGCCTGTGATCTTCCGTGTCAAAGCTCCTGAATCTGATTAATTACTGGGGATTTATGATGGAGAGACTTAACGAGTGAGATGACTGCATGGTATGAAGAGATTAATCCTTCCTTTCCTCCTCTCTCTTTCCCCCTAGCCTTAACCGAGCCATCGACAAGAAGCATGATGGAAGATGTGTTAAGGTACGGTCTGAGATCGGTTCCTGCCCCTGCTGCACTGAGCAGTGGTGGGTGAAATGATGGCAGAGAGCTAGACAGAAACCTTGCCTAGGATTAATTCCGTATTAAAGGCATACAATTTCAAACTGTCAGTAATGAGATTAAAATGAAGATTTTCAGATTTGCAAGAATTTTCTACATTTTGTTTGAATAGATAAAATTGGTGAGTTTTAAAATATTATCTTGTGTGTGACACTAGACTTAAGAATGGAAACTTTTGATTTCAGTAATGCTTCAGAATTATCAAAACACTTCTCTTTAGACTTAGAGGCTTGTTGAAGCTAAGAAATCCCCAGAGGAAGTTTGGATTTTGACTTAAAAGTAATTTTGTAACAGAAAAAGCGATTCTGTCAGAACGTTTACCATAAAGTTTGTTTATCAATACATGGAGCCACCGTGAAGTGGAGAAGTATCTCTATTTTTAGTTTAGAGAGATAAAATAAAGAAACACTCTGGCTGTGCAATTTAACATAATACAACAACTTCCATTTCTGTACACTCAGAGTACCACAGAAACACCAAGGTGAGTATAAACTCTATTTTCAAGTGGCATTGATATTTTGCTGCAAAAGTTGGTGCCACATAAAGCATTTGAGGCAAAGATCATTCATGGTGGTGTTCGTGGTGAAAATCCCCAGTACAATAGGGATGAAGCCCACTGCAGGACAGGAAAAAGCAGATACTCCAGGATCATGCTCTACCAGTGTGAAGGATTTCAACTGTTTGTTCTTCAACTCCACCATGCTGGGGCTGGAAGATCCTCTCCCCTTCCAGTTCTGGGAAGAGGGGGAGATGTCTCTTGCACCATGCTCCGTTACACAGGACTAATGCAAAGGGGAGCAGAGATTAAAATGTTGTTCTGTGACTGTTTCAGCTCGACTGTACCGGCCACCTGAAAGCCCGCAATGGTCATGAGACTCCCTGCACCCTGGAGTACATGCCTGTCTGTGGCACCAACGGAGTTACCTACACAAACCGCTGTAGTTTCTGCAATGCTGTGGCGTAAGTGAGGGGCTGGGTCACGGGTGGGTTTCAAGACCAGTAGGTGCTCGTGTTGGTATTTAGAGCGTAACGAGGTAGTTTGACTCGTGAAGCAGCTGCACTGCGGTCATTCATTCTCAACTTGCTTTCTTCCCAAAGGAATGGAGTGGACGTAAACCTGCGCTACATTGGAGAATGCTTCGAGGTAAAGTACAGAAACCTGCACTCTTAACTGCTGTTACAATACATTGTAAAACACAGATTTACTGAATCATAACTAAATAATAGAAATGCCTCAACTGTCCTGGTGCATTTGGCCTGGAAATAGGATTTGAGGAAAATAGTTAAAGTATGCCAGGGCCAAAGGGTATTAAACCAAATCCATACTCAGATATGCAGTCCCCACTCTGACCTGGGCACACGGCAGTCAGCAGGTGCTGAGGCCTTCATTTACTGGGAAAGGGGCTGAGCAAGAGAGGCTGCCTCAGCCCTTCTGCAGGACAGCAGGAGGGTTGTAAACTACCAGCACTATTAGTAGTGGCAATTCCTTAGGTGGGAGTACTTTTTGTGGTGTGGCTTACGACCATCCACTTTCTGTAACCTGGCCTCTGCTGGCCTGCTGAACCAGAGCAACCAGTGGGAGGGTCAGCCTGGAAATGTCAGCATGGTCATTTCACTATTTATAATAGTATTTATTACTTTTTTTTTTTTTGGCACCTGCCTTCTGCCCACTTCAGGTTGCCCCAGGAAAGCACGTTCTCTGCCTTGGAGTTTGCAGAGTTACTTAGAACAACAGAGCCTTGAACCTGAAAAGTGCTTTTATACTTTGCCATGTCATAAACATTAAAAAAACATAAATCACTCACATAAGAAAATACAGGGAACAAAAGCTTTAACATGTGTTGTTTCATTATTAGGAGATTGACTGCAGTGAACACAAGGGTAAAAATCTCATCTGCACCGCCGAGTATGACCCCCTTTGCGGCTCTGATGGCAGAACTTACGGAAACAAGTGCCAATTCTGCAATGCAGTTTCGTAAGTATGGAGCTCACTGCGCAGCCATGAAATCAGAGGAACCAGCACACACGTGCAGTGGTGGCAGCTGGTGTGGAAGCCCCAGAGCTCCCGTTAACCACTTGGTAAAACCATCCCCACTCCATGTTCATCTCCCAATGCTCACTCCTCTGTCGCTCCCCAGGTACTGCGGATTTTAAGCCCAAGCAAGTCTTCTCCTTCCCTTGCAGTTAAATCCAGCTCCCTGTTTGCAAGCTCATAGCTTGCTGACTCCTTCTCTGACACAGTGATTTAAACTGTGACTGTAGGAGGTGTCCAAAATTACGGGCTTTGCCCCAAATCTCTTTAATGTGAGAAAGCATGTAACCTGAGGAATAAGGAAAGAGGTGAAACATTAAGTACTTTATAACTTGGAGAGCACAAGAACATTGTCTTATTTGGGTAAAGCTAGATTATAAAACTGAAATCCACATCTGTAATTTCGGTCTCCCTCTTTCTCTTCAGGCTTAGCCGGGGAACTCTGGCCCTCAAACGCCGTGGTGAATGCTGAGTGCTGGAGCCATACCCTTTGCCCTGACTTTTCCCTTACAGATCCTGCAATCAAACACACTCTTCCCTGCTCCCTTGACCATCATGCATTGGTCTCTGCTTTGATTGATCAATAAATTAAACTCAGCCACTCTCTTTGTCATGGACTGGTTTTTAGTTTCAGTTTGGGTTTGTTGTTTTTTTTTTTCAGGGCAGGGGTAATGGTCTTCAGGCTTTTAGGTTAGGTTTTAGGTTTTAGGTTTAGGTCAGGCAGGAGAAGTTGTGAAATAAACCATAGTAAAGTGTAACACCCATCACACACCAGCCCAACTCCACACAAGAATATGTCACTCCATACCAGACCATCAGAAGAGAAACCAAGCTGCTATAAAAAAATTGCCATTTTCCTAATTTTGGTGTCTTATAGAGTGTAAATGGATTTGCCTTTGTAACAGCACTGAGTCTTGGAAGACTGGTCTTTTTAGGGGCCCTGGCATGGGGGGATGCCCTGAGGATGTGTGAAAGAGAAAGGTGCCCCTGGTCAGAAAGCCCTGCCTGGTCACCTCTGGGCAAGGGGAAGGTTTGGCAGTGCATTATAAAAAGGAGACTTATGGCAAAGGGAGGAGGCTATCTCATAGGAAAGAAAATTAGGAACTGCTGCTTCCTTGAAGGGTGTGTCCATCGAGACTGTTGATCAGCAGAAAATTGCAGCAAGCTAGGCAAGGCTGTAATGAGTCTAATGAGAACCCGAGGAGAAATTAGACTGGGGTCAGGCTTTCAGCTTCTTAGAGAAGAGATATGAAGAGTTGAACCTGGGGTGTCTGAGGCAGAAGCAGGACAGGGGACCCTTCAGAAAAAGGTCTTGGATTTTCTAACCCCAGGAAAGAAGGGCCAGAAGATGTGCTGGTAGCTCCAAGATGCTTTCTATCTTGGGGAAAAAAAGGTATGGAGATAACATCTTTGTGGGAGCCTAAGGAGTGCATTGGAGTAACAATAATATATATGTATGTTCATGATGATGTGCCATCTTTTTGGGTGAGTCAAAGAGTTAATATGCAAACAGCACAGGCAAAAAGTCCCAAGTGCCACAGCTCACACAGTCCCTTCCTCCTCCTTTCCCCACCTCCCATTCTCTTGTTATGTAGCAAAAGTATCTGCTGCCAAGGCTGATATTTAGGACAAAATCTGTGATTTCCAAGCCTTTTCTTTGGGTCTTGTTTCTTGAAGTAAATAATTTCTTGACCTGGAATTTTGTAGGTGCTTCCCACCAGAAGGTAAAAGGCTTGTTCTTCCCCTAGCACTACCACAGAGCAGTGCTTTGTCTTAGGAAGAGGGATGGAACATCTTATTTTCAGGTTTTTTTCCTGTTAGTACAGGCAATATAAATCACATCACGCCTTTGTACCTGCTCTTAAGAAAAGACAAACAGGACAGTCATCAGAGTCCTCACTGCTTACCTGTCTGTGTGTGTGTGTGAAGAATAATTAAGGAACAAACTAAGTAGCTAGTAGATATGAACAGAGACCTGTCAACACAGGACAGAATTCTGCTGTAATTTCTTGTTGGCCAAGAGGTTTATAGAGTGGCCACAGACTAGTGGAGTTTTGGCCATAGCCAGTAATTGTCTTCAACAACAAAATCCTACAGTGAGCCTCCTTGGCAGTGGTAGTTTCTGCCTGAGGAAGCCAGACGCTTGTTTAGAAGCTCAGAGGGTTTTGGAAAAGCCCAAAGAGCTTCTCACCTGCAGGGAAAGGGAGGGCAATTGGCAAGTACTGGGCATATGACTGTATCCTAGATGCCTTGTGAGCAAGAACTCTTTAGAAGATGGAAAGGTTTGTATCACACAAGACTAAAGACTGTCCCAGCACAGGTAAGTACTTGGCTTGACACCAGCAAGAATCTGTCCAAGTATACCCCTTAGACTGCAAAGCAAGGTCTAGATGCCCTTCTTCTATCCCTGATTCTCAGAGAAGTCAGAGGGACAGAAGAATTCCCTCACCCAGTCTAGCAAGTGGCCTGTTTCAGATGTTATAAAGTGGAAAGGGGTAATAACAATAATCACCTGGTTGGTAATTTAGTCTCTTCCTCTCCTCAGCCCGGAAGGGATTGGTCCCTGTGGTACATTTGCTAAGGCTTTAGCCGGTTGGTTATGCTGCAGCAACCGAAACGTTTGGGTAGATAAAGGACTGAGGCATTAAGGCTGTGGTCGTGAGCAGTGACGTATGAAACCAGAAAAGGCAAACAAGTAGTGCTGTGAGTGGCAGAACTAAGCGTGGTTTTGAACGGCACTGTGGCTGACTGACTTGATAACTAAATTATATGAGAGGCTGCAGCGTGAGCTCACCCTTAATAGACATCTGAGAATTCACCTGTCAGTCACAGTTTCTCTGCTGTGTGGATTTTAAGATGTCTAGCAAGCTGCAAACTCTAATGCTTCCCCAGATGTAGGGCACTCATAACATTGCTTTCCTGCAGAAAGTCTCTCCCTTGCTAACTGAGGATGTTAGTAGCATCTTTCTTTTGTTGCTAGAAAAACGTATAAAAATGTATTTATGATTTTTAATATTTTTGCTCCTATGTCAGATTTGGTTGGAATTAGTTGCAGATTCAAAATCTTCTGGGGGAACTAATAAACAGATATATTTATACAAATTGTTCTCCTAAGCCTTGTCTCCTTAGGAAAGCATGGTGAAATTTTCAGCTTATTCTTATCTGAACAGATATTTTGCAAATGATGCAGCTGAACACAAATCCTTTCACAGACTCAGCTGGAAATAGAGCTCAGGTCTCCCAGTTGCCCATCAAATTCCCTTCATTGCCACTTACTGTGGGAGCGGAGCCCTAACATATGTTTGTGAATGTGAAAAACTGGAAAACATTGACAGCTAAAGTTTAAATAGTTCAGGGAGGAGAATCAGCAGTCCTATCTGGGACTGTGCACACAGCTATGAGAGCATGTCACATCGGAGTGCTTCTCCACCCCAACCCAACAAATTTAGAACCATCCTCAAAAATAGCCAGGGAACAACGTATAATTGGTTTCACAGACAACACATTCTCATGCTGTGATTTATTTCGTAACGTCTAGTGAGTGTCATCACGCTGCACTCAAAGCCTCGGAGCTGGCATTCAGCGAGGGCCCAGAGAATGAAAATTACCAGCTTCCCCGATGAATCACCGCTTTGAAAATTCACCCTTGTGAGAATCCTGTGACTATTAGGAAAAAAAAAATAAAATTACAAGCCCGTCTATCACTCATGTAATTAGCCCTTTCTAGGTTTGATGTGGACAGGGCAGCATTCCTAAAGCACCATAAACGTGGCCAGGACCAATAATGTCTTTGGAAACAAAGTGGAGAAGTTCTCACAATTAAGGTGGGGAGTGAGCACAGCTACGGCTGGGCGCATAAATACACAGAAAGGCAGGTCTGTGTGCACACTGTGGGCTCCGGTGCCGAGACGACACCTCCCGCACAGATCGCTTGGCTTGGACTAAAGAGCTACCTGCAGCATGAAGGCAACAGGTGCCTTAGTGCTTCTCAGCCTGCTGCTGCTCTCTTTCTTCTCGGGTAAGTGATTTTCTCCCTAGCCTAGAAAAAAAAAAATAAACCCAAAACAAAACCTTTCCTGACAACAGCAAACTTCGGAGAGCCTTGATCACTGGATGACAGGCTTGAAGATAAAGCTGAGCAAGTAGAAAATATCTGCGGGACTTGCTCACTCATATGACATATTTCCACTCCTCTTATGCCTCCACAGTGAATAACGCAGTGGAGGTGTCACTGGGAGACAGAGCGAGCAAATTCTAAGTGGCTCTTTCAGCAAGTGTACCAAAGCAGAGTGTAATTATGTATTTTCGGTAGAAATGTTCGCTGGAGAGCTTTGCTGAACCAGTTAGAGAAGAAACTCACTCACCTCAGGGTCATCAGCTCTCGTTTTGATCCTAAGCATCTTGGTATTTGGTGTTTTCCTTGGAGATGTGGAAACGTAATTAGATGAAAGTTTCAGCTTTCGTTTATGTTGCAGAGAAAAGCTTGAAAATTAAATTCAGATGTCCTCAAGGAGCCAGAACAAAGAGGGCAAATTAAAAAGATCCAGCATTTATTTATCTGGAGATTTACACATCTCTCTGATGATCTGGGGAAGCTGAGTGATGATTTGTGAACATATAGGTCACATCAGTGTTATCAGTTGGTTGTGTCCGGCTGACCCAGCTCTGCAAGGTTTGTGGTGACAGTTATTGAAGAACGTGCAGAACAAGAATTATTTATACTTGTTTTTCTGTGAATAATTTGAATAAAGAATTCACTTGAGAAAATTGCAAGCTGTGCATGGAAAAAGAGGTGAATTACTTCGTACACATTATTCTTTATGAAATATTCATCTGTCTCTAATTGAGTCTTAATTGGGACTGGGTTCCGTCAGAGTGGTGAAGCTTCCTTCCAAGGCCAGGCAGAGTAGCAGCAAACTCTGTGATCTCCTATAAAATAAACAGATGTCAAGAGACTTCATCACAAAGTCTTCTGTAGCCGCATGTAATATTTATAAAAACTTCCTAATGAGCTATTTTGTAAATAATATGCAGATAGCCATAACAGTGACTTTACAATTAGGGCAGCCTAGCTTAACCCGAGGACATGATAAATACACCAGTGCCAGGGCTAAAACACCGAAGGGCAATACAAATGGCAGAAGGAGTAGTGTGAGATGGATGATGGTCTGTCTGGCTGAGGGCTGGGTGGGATTTCCAATGTGTGGGGGCCCGAGCGTAGGACCAGGTCCTCCCATCTCCCACCGCAGCTCCCCTCCTGCCCAGAGCCACCTGGGCAGCACCACAGCTGGTAGGGACCCCACTAACGCAGCAGGTACAGCCTCACACCTAATGTGAGATCTGGGTATTTATCCTACAGTGTTGTGACCCATATTCTGAAAATTTGCATTCAACCCACCCTTGAGTGTCAGTCTCCCCCTTAGAGACGTCACAGGGTTGTCTTGTCCTGTAGTTATGACTCAACCTGTGTGCCTGACTGCAGTCTTTGCAGTGAAGAAATATTAAGAGGATGGACTGATTAGCTTCAAGATCAGACCCTGTGGTTACAGCGGGTATTTTTGCACTCTTACTGACTGGCACTGCCTGTTCTGCTCTGTATCACCCCATGACATCTCTTTGTATCTCGCCCAGAATGAACTTGTTCTGGGAGCATCTCTGGGCTGTGCTGTGCTGAGGATGGCTGTAAAGCTGACCATGGGGTCTTCTCCTTCTCCATGGCACACTCTTGTTAGCAGTATCAGCCATTTTCATTGTTCAGAGGTGCAGGAGCCTAAAAGCCGTAAAAGTCAATATTGCTTTAAAATCTCTGTTGAGCACGGCTCCACATCCGATATGGCAGCTCGCTTCTCCGGGAGTGGCTGCCTTCCAGGAGATTGGGTTATGTGTCTGAGGTGCAGTTAGCAGCTGAGTGACTGATTACATGGTATTTTAGTAACATTTTTCAAAAAAGCAAAATACTGAAAAGCAATTTAGATAATGTATTTCCTGCCCCCTCCTCCGCCACACAGGATGAAGGAGTAGGAAAACCTGGTGTGTTTCACTGTGGTTTGCATAAAGGATTTGTGACTTTAGTTCAGCTTCTATCAGAAAATAATGCTGACATTTAAAATCTCGGGGGTTTTTTTTGTTGTTGTTTTTTTATTCCAGATGTAGCAGGTCAAGACATTGAAGAGGTTAGTGCAGCTGTTTCCACTTCTTACTGAATCTGCATTTTCTAGAGGCATGGTTTTGTAACCAAGATCTTGGTGCGTGGTAAACAGTTTTTATTGTCTGCTGGGAGCAGGTAGGTCCTTCCAAGAAGTCCTAACACTTTGGGGAGTTCACTGTTGTGCAGGGGATGTTATGTGTGGCTACATTAGCAAGTAGATGAGGGAAATATATGGTTGGTTTAGCAATTGCTTCCCATGGTTAGGTCTAGAGTGCTTGCACAGGGTTGTGTTTGCATGCAGCATCACTTTTATCCACCTTGTCCACTGTCCAATCTTCTCAAGAAACAAATGGACTGCTGAGGGTGTTTTATCCCCCCAAACAGGGTCCATCACTGGGACTTATCCAGAGACAAGATACCTGTACATTTCCTGGACACCATTTTTAATTCCTCACAGACTGTGGCTTTCTCCTCCTTCCTCTGGGAAGGCAGAAAGCTCAGCAAGCACCAGGCTGAGTGCACAGTTTTGCAAGATCCGTGAGGCCATGCAGCAGTGAGTTAACTTGGTGCCAAATGCCTGAAAGAGCATCAGTGATGACTCTTCTCCCAGATGCTTAGGCTAATCGACTCCTGTCTTTAGGAGATCAAGACTTTTCCCAAATCAATACATCTTCTCTCCTCAAACACAGGGAAAAAAAATTTCCTGAAACACTACTGCTCATTTCTGAGAGGGCTTTTTCTTTCAGTAAATAGACAGTGTCATCACTGCTGTTTAGTCCTCTAGTCAGAAAAAGCATTATATTAGTGACCTTGTATCCAATTTGTAAAGTGAACAAGAGAGTATGAGATTCCTAAAAGGTGGTTGTTTTTTTTATTCCTTTTGCAGATTTGTAGAGAGTTTATAAACAGAAATGTGTACTGCACGAGGGAGTCCAACCCTCACTGCGGCACGGATGGCATCACGTATGGAAATAAGTGTGCCTTCTGCAAGGCAGTGCTGTAAGTGAAAGCAGAGGGGATCGAAATAACAGAAAGAGTTGCCTTCGTTTTCATGTATGTAACGACGTTCTTCATGGAGGGGAGACCCTGCATCCAGGCTGCTCCTCTTGTATGGACCAGCCCCTGAATCGTGCCAAGTGGAATATTTCCTCCTTGGAATGGAGCTGTGTGAATGCAAGTTAATTTTAATTCATTTCTAGGCTTTGCATGCTGCTGGTTGCCATGCTGAAAGGCAGCACGGGGCCTGGGAGGCAATTGCATCCTGCCTGTACCTTCTGCACACACTAAATTGATGCACATTTCCCACTGTATGCCACAGGCTGCAACTCTCACTGCCCACACTTGTGGATACTGAGAAGTGTCTGGAGGAATGCGGGAGCTGAGCTGTGCCAAGTTATTCCTGAAAAGTCTGAATGGACTTTGTGGAACAAGACACAAAATCCCAGAGGAAAAGCTCAAGTTTCTCCTTTGCCTGAGCTCTGCCATCTTTTAAAGGAGATGCAATAGGAGCCAGCACCCCTGGGCTGAATGTGCTTGCAAAACATCAGTTTCTCCTTAACATTTGGTGTGCACTCGGGGCTGCCTTATCCTAGGGGAAATAAAAGAATAGCAAGGAGAGGAGAAAATGTCTTGATGTTCCCTGTGAGGGACCACGGTATGCTAGCATGAGTCAGGCAAACGGTCATGTTTGGACAGATAAACTCCTTGTCCCACGCTTCTGTGTCTGTCAAACATTGCTTTGTCTAAGTCTGTCTTGCTCCTTTTACAGGAGAAGTGGAGGGAAAATAAGATTGAAGCACCTCGGCAAATGCTGAATCCTCACTGTCACCAAACAGCAACAGCTGAGCCCCCGTCAGCAATGGCTGCAGATGCCTGCACATGGACACGGGAGCAGCTTGCCCTCATCTTCGCCGCCTCTGCTCAATAAAATAAAACTCAGCATGATTCTTTGGCTGGATTCCTTTTTCCATAATACCCAGAAAAGTGCTTTGATACAGCAGTGCCAGAGCCTAATGCATGGCTTCCCTATGCTGTGCTGTTACATCACCCTCCTCCCGGGAAGCAAGGTGCTCTCTGTGCCGGAGTAGGGATTCCCACGGCTCCCATGGGCTTTGTCCTCCTGTCCCCTGCAGCCATAGCTCTTCTGTCCCGTCCTGCCTGACAAATTGGCACACACTTGCTGGGCAGCCAAGCAGCACAACCGCCCATGGGCTCCTGCCCAACTCTCCCCATCCCAGGGGGTGGGTGACTGCGTGCGCCTTTATTCTTTACCCAACCTCCGTAGACATGTTCCTTCCTCTCTCAGAGGTTATTGTGGGAGGGTGACAGGAGAGCTGGTGAACAGCGTGACTGCATATGCCTCATCTCCTTTGGAAACCAGAGACAAACAAGCTGAGGCTAGGGAATATTGCTCCATTTAAGCCTGCAACAAAAAGATGGCAGGTGGAGGCTGGTTTTAGGCAGAAGCTGCAAAGCTCTTCTTTCCAAATCAGTCTCTTTCTTCTTCCTTCTAAGAGAACGCTTTGTCTTGAAAACTGTGAACTCACCAGCATTAGTTTTCTGCTGCCAAGTGTCTTCTCATGCTAATAAAATTATATTTAGAAGAGCAGCAGATTGTATAAATTGTCAATAATTTAAAAAAGAAAAATCCCTAGAGGAAAAGAGCTGTGGGCTTCCTCTCCCCACCTCTAGGATAAACTCTCACTGAATCATACACAGACCTTGATTTTTAGGCATAAGTATTTGTATTTATTTACAATTTCTAATGCACATAGACTTTATTCCTTTCTTTACTTTTCACGATGCTGCCCTCTCTTTTCTTGATGCTGGCTGGAAAGTTCTTCTCTGTGCAAACATGAGAAAATGAATTATATAGTCTCTCCACATTCACTGTGCAGAATTCACACAGGGAAATACTTGTGGCATCCCCTTGTTAAAACATTGGCAGCAGATCAATGGGACACCAGCTCCTTCATTTTAAACACTTAACTTTCAAAGGGAGCTTTAGATTTTATCATGAGCCTCAGGGGTCAACATATTTTGCAAGCACCGAAATGCTGAGCATCTAAACCTCTGGACCTTGTTTGGACAGAGCTTGAGTGTCTGCCTATCATGCCACAATCCATGCTTTGAACTCAACTGGGGCGCGATGCCTAAAAAGAGAGGCCTTAGCAATGCACTCAGCACACCTAATGCTGGCTTCTCTTCTGGTAATTCACTTTTGTGATGCCAATTCTGGCAAATCCTTTGTCATTTGGTAACTTTACAGGCAGCGTGCAGGTGGCAGCCAGCCAGCGGCTGAACCACACAGACAAAACTCAGCGTTGGCTGGTTTGGAGCTCCCCTCGGACCAACTGTCTTTGATCCTGATGCTTTTCCCATCCCAGCCTACTGGATTCTTGCAAAGTCTGCCACCTCTTCCTGGAAGCAGACTAACACTCTCTGTGTCCCAGGTTGCACAGCCAGGGGAAGCACATTTGTTTGGTTTCAGATTCAGACGTTACATTAGTAAACTCAATAGCAAGACACCCAGAGCATGGGCAAGATTGAGGGGAGCAAGAAGCACCTCCTGCACAAGGACAAGTGGTCACAAAGGACATGTTGGGAAAGTGTGAGGACCTTCCTCATCAATCCCCCTGCTTGGAGCAGGATAACCTCTGTATGTCCTCTCCTATCTGAGTTACCCTGCAATGATTCTATTACATTGTGTCGTTCTGGACCAGCACCATATTCAGAGCACAGAAGCAAAAAAACCCCATTTTTAAGATGGAAAACAACATTTTAATGAGAGAGGGAGTATAGGATATCTTTATGCCTGAGATGGCCCTCAGTGACTTCAAAAATCTCACAGCATATGCCCGTATCTAATCCTTTTTAATCTGGAAACTGAGATAACAAGGGCAGATCACAAGAGAACAGAAACTGCAAGAATTCACTGTTTGATAACCATCCTGTACTTCGCTCGTTCAGTGCAAGTAGCAAATAAAAACATCTCTGTACCCCTACAGACCCAACTACCATCTCCTCCACCCGTGCCAGGGAAGTGGAGAATGGGAGTCATCTCTTTTGAGGAAATTATTTCTCCCAGTTGGGGAAACTTCCCAAAACTTCCTCCCCAGGAGAGGCCAAGAGAGGCAGTGCTACACCAAGTGAACGGACGCGGTCCGTCCTTCTGGCTGAGCGGGCGCATGGCTCTGGTTAACAGAGATGGCAGTGATGCTTTGGTGGTGCCAGCTCCGCTCGCTCTCAGTTTCAGAGTGCTGTCCTCCCCTTCCCAGCAGGGCTGATGGATGCCAGCGACAGGGTAGGAGTGCAGCAGTAGCCACAGGCTGTCCAGCCTGAACTCCCATCTGCATCTGGCTGCCTTCCCGGACACACACCAAACCATAAACCAAACCTTCAGCCACTGTTTTTAATTCTCTTTCCTCAATCTTTTAAGTTGCGTTGGGTTTTGGGTTTTTTTGTCAGTTTTGAAAGGTGAGTCATGATACATTTGAGCTATCTCTATTAGGTAACATGAACATCTTCACAGCTTCATCTCTCCCTGGGGAGGAAGGGGCAGAGGCTGGAGTGGGAGCTGCCCCAGCATCTCAGCTGCTGCCAAGACCTGCCCCTTGCAGCAGAATGAGGGCTCTGTGCTCCCTGTATCTCACTCAGTCCCCCTCAGCAGTTAAAATAATGGAATAATTTAATTTGTGCATGGTTGATCTTACTGAAAGCAAGCTGTTTTGTTTCTCACAGCTGAGCACCCTCCCATGACTGGGCTGTGCACATGGCAGAGGGGAAGGACGTATTTCCATCTCACAGCTTCACTCTGCTGGTGATGCAGCTGATAGATTATTGTGTCCAGGCTCCTGGCCCATTTAACTTGTGTGCTCCACCGCTTCCTCCTCCTCCCCCAGCACAGGCACGTGTCACTGTAGCAACTCAGTTGAGTCCTTTGTCCTACTTTTTTCCCTTGACATTCACAGTGTTTGACAAGGCTTCTCTAGCTGCCATGGGATGATCCTAGGGTGGTGGTACTGACTGCAGGCTTTCCATGGCCCAGCTGGGGAGGAAGCTCTGGACTTGGCTATCATTCTGGTTCACCATCTTTTCCCCAAGAGAAGGCAGGCTGGATCAGGTTGCAAGGGACTTTGGTCCAAAACTCCTGCTCATGGCAGGGTCAGTTCTGAGGTCCTATCAGGTTGCTCAGGGCTTTATCCAGTCTAGCACTAAAACCTACAAGGGTGGAAGATACACAATCTCGCTAGGCTACCTGTCCCAGGGTTTGACTGTCATCATGGTAAAGAAAATTTTCTTTCTACCCAGTTTCAACCTCTTTTCTCTCAACTGTCTCATCTCCAAGCCACGCACCACCATGAGGAGCCTGGCTCTGTTTGCTCAGTAATCTGCTTGTTAACTGGCAGCATGCTTTTACATCCCCCTGAAGCCACCTCCTCAGCAGGTTGAAGAAGCCCACCTCCCTCTGCCTCTTCTCACAGAGCAAATGCTCCAGCCCCCATCTCTCTTAGTGGCTTTTTTTCTCAACTTACTCCATTTTTCGGATGTCTCTCTTGTATCGGGGTGGAGCCAAAAACTGAATACAGGAGGGAAGGCTGAGCTATGGGAATAAGGAAAGGGATTGTTCAGGCAGTAGTTGGGAGAACTGTAGGAGTATTGCAGGGGACTGAAGAGATGGAGATGGTGACAGTTACAGGGAGCAGCAGGAGGGTGTCAGCATGTATTGGGTCCTTTAAGGACTAGAGAGCAGCTAAGCCCGCTCTGGGGTGAAACAGCTCCCAGATGCTGGGAATCAGCCCACAATTCCCCCCCATCACCATCACAGCTGAAGGACTTAAATAGGAGTGCAGGGGAAGTATTTGGCTGGTTTTACCAACTCCAGAGCAAAGAGAAGGTGAGATGTTTGGTTTGCAGTGTGGGAGTTTTGGTGTTTGTTTGGGGTTATTGGAGGGTTTTTTTTGTTGTTTGGGTTTGTTTGTGGTTTCCACCCCCCTGGAATAAGCAGTGTAGTTTAGGAGCTTTTCACAGACCTAGCTGCAGTAATTGTGGTTGGTGTCTTAAAAGGCTGCTCTAAAAATGCTGGGGAAGCATGTGGAAGACAAGGGTTACCACCATACGTAAAGGAAGAATGGGGGAGGCATAAGATACATCCCTATAGAAAGGCGATTGCCACAGAAAGAGTTGCTTGTTTTAAAGTTCTGGGAATGAGACAGTGCTTCAAGTCACCCCTTTAGCTTTGACACCCATGGGATAGCAAGAGACAAGAATTTCAATAAGGTCAGCCCCTCAGGTCTCTGGAGGGAGCAGGGCTTTTGTAGAGCCTCAACTGCGACTTGAAAGTTATGGTCAAAACTGAGCTTCTGCTGGGCCTGGCGGATGCTGTGGCCACCTCGAGGCTGGCCCCAAGCGATGGCTTCAGTGCTTGTAGCGGGATTGGAGCTATAGTACCCAGCTCGTGCAGTGATGGCTTCCCAGGGATGTGGAAAAGTGGTGGAGCTGTGTAAGTCAGCGCTTCCCTTTCTGAGCTAAAAATTGCTCAATTAATTGGGAGTGAACAGAAATGTCAGTATCGTGACAAGGGCTGGCTCTGACGCTTCTGGCCTTCTTCCCGAAGAATGTCGTGCCTTTCTTTGGGAGGATGAATTTGTGGAGTCACCTGTGATAAAACCACCAGCTGCCTGGGCCTTGCCCTGTAAATAAAAGCACCTTCCTGTCACCCTCCCTTTCTAGACGTGCCTCAGCCCTTATTCACAGTTGCAGCCGACAAGTGGGGGCTCCAGTTGTGCCCGATAATGATGACGACCCATTCCAAAGGAGCTGGGAGGGGTTGCGGGGGGTGGCGGTGTCGCCGCGGCCCGTTCCCGGGCGTCGGGCTCCCTCTGGTGACAGCTGGGCACGCGCCGGAGGGACACCGGCACCAGGGCCCG